TTTTTTTTTTTGTTCTGCGTAATTTCCTTGAGGTTCATTCAAGTTATTGCATGTATTAATAGTTGGTTCTATTTTATTGCTGAGTACTGTTCCATGGTATGGTTATATCACAGTTTATTGAACACTTTAGCTTTTGATGGAGATATGGGTAGTTTTCAGTTTTGGGCTATTACAAATAAAGCCATTATGAATGTTCGTGTATAAGTTCCTGCATGAAAATAAGTCTTCATTTCTCTGAGTTATATGCCCAGTAGTACAATTGCTGGGTTATATGGTAAGCCCATTTTTAGTTTTGAAAGAACTGCCAAGCTATTTTCCAGAATAATTGTACCATTTTAATATTCTCACCAATAACATCTGAATGATCCCATTTCTTTTGCATCCCTGTCAGCACTTGGTATTATCACTATTTTTCATTTTAGCCATTCTGACATGTGGTGATGTACGTGTAGTTTTAATTTGCAATTCCCTAGTGGCTAATGATATAGAATATGCTCTTAGGTGTTTATTTTCTTTCTATCCATATATTTTATTTGGTGAAATGTCTGCACATATCTTTTTCCCCTTGTCAATTAGATTTTTTTTTTCCTCCAAGTGGGAGAGGGGGAGAGAGAAGGAGAGGGGAGGAAGGAAGCTAGATTGTTTTTTATTGTTGACTTTGGAGAGTTATTTATATATTCTAGCACAAAGACTTGTCAGATATGAGATATGAAAATATTTTCTCCCGGGTTGTAATTTGTCTTTTTATCCTTTTAGTAGGGTCTTTCACAGAACAAAAGTTTTTAATTTAATGAAGTTCAATTTATCAATTACTCCTCTTATAGATCATGCTTTTGGTAACAAGTCACAGAGCACTTTGTCTAGTCCTGGTTCTTAAAGATTTTCTCCTATGTTCTTTTGTAGAACTTTTATACTTTTACATTTAAGCCCATGATCCATTTTGAGTTAATTTTTGTGCAAGGTATGGGGTTTAAGTTGAGCTTTATTATTTTTGCTAATCAATTTCTAATTATTCTAGCACCATTTTTTGAAAAGGCTATCTCTCCTCCATTGAATTGTTTTTGCTCCTTTGTCAAATATCAGTTGGGTATATTTGTTTGGATCTTTCTGGGTTCTCTATTCTATTCCATTGAATTATGTGTCTATCCTTCTGCCAATATCACACTGACTTGATTACCGCAGCTGTATAGTAAGTCATGACACTGGGAAAAGTGATGCCTCCCACTTTGTGCTTTTTCAAAATTATGTTGGCTACTTTAAAGACCTTTCTCTTTTCATGTAAGTTTTAGAATAAGCTTGTCTATGTCCACAAAGAAATTTACTGAGATTTTAGTAGGAGTTGTATTTAACCTAGAGACCAGTTTAGAGAGAATTGACATTTTTACTACCATGAGTCTTCCAGTCTATGAACATGTTATATTTCTTCAAGTATTTAGATTTTCTTTTATTTCTTTCATCAGCATTTTATAATACAGATCCTCTATATTAGATTTTGTTAAAATTTATACCCAAGTATTTCATTTTGTTTGGAGTAACTGTAAGTGGTGTTCAGTTTTTGATTTTGGTTTTCACTTGTTCATAGTCACTATATAGAAATGCAATTGATTTTTCTGTGTTGATCTTGTATTCTGTGCAATTCTGCAGTTGATCTTATAGTCTATGACCTTACTAAACTCACTTATTAGTTGTAGAAGCTTTTTGTGGATTCCTTAGAGTTTTCTATGTAGACAATCATGCCACCTATAGACAGAGAGTTTTATTTCTTCCTTCTCAATCTGTATTGTGCATGTGTGTGTGTGTGTGTGTGTGTGTGTGAGAGAGAGAGAGAGAGAGAGAGAGAGAGAGAGATACAGGGTCTCACTCCGTTGCTTAAGGTGGAATGCAGTGATGTGATCACAGCTCACTGCAATGTCCAACACCCAGGCTCACGAGATCTTCATGCCTCAACCTCCCAACTAGCTAAGACTACAGGTGTGCACCACTACGCCTGGCTAATGTTTTTTTTTATTTTTTTGTAGAGACGGGGTCTTGCTGTCTTGCCCAGGCTAGTCTCAAACTCCTGGCCTCAAGCAATCCTCCTTCCTTGACCTCGCAAAGTGCTGGAATTACAGGCGTGAGCCACCACACCCGGCCTCCAATCTGTATTTTTTTCAACTTTTGTTTTCTTGCCTTGTGAAGTGGCAAGAATGCCCAGTACTACTACGTTAACAAGATTAGGGAGAGCAGGTGACCTTGCTCTGTTCCCAATCTTAGAGGGAAAGCATTCAGTTTTTCACCGTTAAGCATGATGTTAAGTGCAGGTTTTATGTAGATGTTTATGAGGTTGAAAAGTTCCCATCTAGTTGTAATATACTGAGATTTTTATTATGAATGGGTGTTGAATTTTGTTGAATGCTTTCTCTGTATTAATTGATGTGATCATAAGATTTTTCTTCTTTGTCCTATTAATATGCAGATTACATGATTCATTTTGAAATATTGAACTAGTCTCCCATACCCCCAAATAAATCCCAGTTGGTTGTAATATATTATCTTTTTACATATTGTTGGATTCAATTTACTAAAATTTTGTTGAGGATTTTTGTGTCTAAATTCATAGGAAATGTTGTTCTGTGGTGGTTTATTATTTCTTTTGTGCTATTATTTTCTGGCTTTAGTATTAAGGTAATACTGGCTTAATAAAAATGAGTTTGTAAGTGTTCCTTCTTCTATTTTCTAGTTATACATTGTGTAGAATTGGTGTTAATTCTTCTTTGAATGTTTGCCAAAATTCTCCAGTGAAACAAAATGGGCCTGAATAGTTCTTTTCCCAGAACTTTTTAATTACCAATTAACTCTTTAATAGTTATTGGATTATTCAGATTATCTATCTCATCATGGCTGAGTTTTGGCACAAATCTGTTCTCAGTTACCATTTTGTTA